AGTATAAAGAACATTTATTAATCATTGGAATTAAAAAATCAAGAACATAAATACTTATTTACCATTACTATTATGTATTGCTATTATGTAAACCTTCAAATCATTTCATTTGCATTAATTTAGTCGGTAAGTAAAAAATCATCTACATTCGAGATAAGGTTAAAATAACTTATCGTGCAAACACTTATGATCATGGCTTTTTTTTGCACTGATATTTTTATGCACGATGTGTTACACAAGCCGATATTTAACAAATACACAAATATTCGAACAATGATCTTTAGCAAATACACAAAAATTCAGATTATATTTTGCAAATCAAGCAATCAAGCATTAAAAGCTAAGTACATAATTTATTAGATTTTTTTTTTACATTTTATATTTTGATACTAATAATTGTTTTATTTATAGTGCCCCGAAGTTGAAAGTGCAATTATGAAAAACATTTCCGGTAAGAAACTTTTCTAATGCTTCATTTTTTGTTTGTTTTTGGTCTTCAATATCTTGATTAACGTGATTTTCCATTTGCTTTTGACCTTCGGTTTCGATTTCTGGATTAATTTGCCTTTCTCTTTAAATATTTTGATCACGTTCGCTCAATGCATTTCGCGAAGGTTCAGGTAAATCAGTATTTGTTGTTGAAAAATCTTCGTCAGGAATATCTGTATCAAATGACATGTAATCACTTGCCAATGTAAAATCACCATACAATTTTTTAGATGCTTTGGCTTGCTCAGATGTTTCTTGATTAGTTTTAGGTGATTCGGGTAATGAACATGCAACGTTCGATAATGCATTAAAAAATCTGTTCAAACCTTGGTGCTGCATTACTATCTTGGGACGTTCGTACAATGCTAGACCCTGTTGGGTTTTATGGCGTGTGATGGACATTACAACTGCGTCAGAATATCCCAATTCTTTCAATACTTGTACAGCCGTCTTCCGGCCTGAATGATTAGAGATGATTCTATCACCGATCTTAATATTTGTCGTTTCACAGATAAGGCGAAAGTAGCCTTTCAATGTACGTTCGGGCAATGCACGTGTATAGAACCATTGTTTACTGAAATCAACTATAATAAAAAAAATTTTTTTTTTTATTAATGAATTTACAATATTACATTTTGTTTATTACAATTGAAATTTTGAAAATTCTCACTATCATTTGAAGTACAGGGTTTCAAGTAAAAATTATTAACGGCTGTTGCTGGACGTTTTGTAAAATAAAACTCATAATCATCAATAATTTGTTTATTGTTGGGTAAACTAATCATTTCGGCTTGTTCATCATGATCGTTCAAACTTCTCTAATTTGTCTTTGACCTAAATAACTTGACATCTATTCCGCCATCAACCCTTTTCACAAAATTATCGATTTTAAGGTCTTGATGTTTACCATCACGCAAAGCTAATAATATAGCATTGTAAAAAAATACACGGCGAAGTAACCCTTCAGGATAGTTACGCTGCATTGTGGGGTGTGCTAGAATTTGTTCAACCTCAGTTATCAAAAGACCATCGGTACCGTTATGTTCACCAAGGCCTGCTAGAGATAGCATCTTCAATTTTCTATTCATAATAGTGTTCAGGTCATAAAAAACTTTCAGATTTAATATGTCCACGGGTTTCTCTAAAGCTGAATGTTCATTTAGATGATGCCAAATCGCAGCCATGCAATTTCTTATAGACGATGCATGGTAATCTTTACCATCCCTACGTTTTATTGCACATATAAATTTACATAACTGGTCCTCTAAGACCGCCTTTGAACTAACGTCCTCAATTTTCCCTTCATATCCTACATCGGCACGGAACTTCTCCAGAATCTTCACCCATACTTGTGTTGCTTTATGTGTCGCCTGCACCTAGAATTCTCACGGATTGCTTTCAACTCCTCTACCAAGGGTTCAACATACTTAAAAGTCTATGAAATTCAAGTTATTAGTACAATGTTAAGTTACTTAAATAACTGTTCAAAAAAAAAAAAAGAAAAAGTCAAACCTTGGGGGCACTAATTCGGGTAGTTTTTTTGTTCATTTTTGGCATTCTTTTTTTTTAATTACTGATGGCAAACTTCTTTCAGGTATTTATACGGCGCAAAGCAGTGAAAGCACAACCCAGGCACAAGATGAGACCTTTGGAGAAATGCGAAACCACTGAAGCCAATGTAGCCAATGCACAACCTTGATCTGAAAATTAGCAAAAGGTAAGAAAAAACTTATAGTTTAAACGATTTTAACTTTTTAAAAATGGTAGAAACTCTGAACCAAACGTACGACTTTATTTAAAGTTTAAAAGGAACCACAAATCAATGTACAAATAAGTGCGAAAAAGAAAGAAAATTTTTTTTCTTAAATCGATTTGAAAAAATTTTTTTGATCGACCATCTAATCTATTTATACTATTGATGACGTATGAGGCTAACAATTTTTTCAAGCCATGATCATAGTTGCACGATAACGTCGATATTGGATCATGCGTTGATAAATAACGTGAAATTTGTCGTTGCATGACCAATATCTTATATATAACAGCCACAAAACAGATTTATAAAAGATAAATATCAGAGTAAAAATATTTATTGTATAATTTTTATATAGTACTAACATCTATCTTATAAGCTACTATATATCTGGCAAATAACTGTAGTATAACAGATTATAAGTAGACATATAAATGTAGCTATCAGAATGTTTGAAGTATCTAAAATTTAACCTATATTTAACTTATATTTAACCTATATTTATTTAAATGCCGATATTCAAATTTAATACCCAAATAATGGCAGCAGAACAGATGATAAATACCTTTATTGTATTTGTTCCTATAAAGAACCAATATCCATCTTATATGCTACCATATATCTGGCAAATAACTGTAGTATAACAGACTATAAGTAGATAAATAAAC